TAAAATTATAAAAATATAGAATTTTTCATATTTATAATACAAAATATATTTTTTGTTAAATGTAAACTAAGAATTGAATAAAATGATAAATTCATATTTATACCAAGAAATGTTTACATAGAATTCAAATTTAATATTATATGAGTTATTCATAACTTTACAAAATTAAATTTAACTTAAACAAATAACAACTAAATGCATTTCTAATTACTATTACCAAATATTTATAACATAAGTACATCCCAACTAGGTTGACACCTACTTTTATTATAATTTATAGTTCAAGTACATCCCAACTAGCTGGAGCTCCCCCCTTTTTTTTCAAATTTTTTTAAAAAAATTTTCACGGGCCAGCGGGTTAACCGCGACCCGTGAAGGTGCAACTCGCGAAGCCCGCGGGTCACACCTCCTTGACCCGGGAAGCCCTCGGGTCACGGGTCGGTCACGGTTGGGTCGATCTGGGCCAGTTGTCACGGGTCTGGCCGGCCCGTCCATCTTGACACCTCTACGGATTACTTTGTAACAGCATAACATTTTCTGAGGAAGAAAGATCTGGAGGTTAAGACATTATATGGTATCTAAAATTTAGTGCCAGAGGATGAACTCGGTATACTACTGAGAAATCACCCCTCTGTTTTGCTCCTTGTTGCAATTTTTTCTGTCTAAAATGAGTGTCTCACAGTCGTTTGTAGTGAAATAGCCTCTTCGTTTAGCTTTCTATTAAGTTGATCCACCATTGCTGACTTCAATATGTTCTAACAAGTAGAAATATGAGTTGTGTTCCTCATAAACTAAAAATCTGAATGAAGAGTGTTGTGTGAAAGATATGACACACACCTTACGACATTTATTTTCTTGAAAGTTAAAAATTATTCTAAAATTGGGGACACTCAATATTGGGATTTGAGTTTTGGGGGGTAGGGGGTACTTATTTGACGTTGTCCGAACTGTAGTCATTCTTCATGTTAAAATGGTGAGAGTATAATTAATTTCATCCTGAGGACAAATATGTGGATCTTTATGTAAGCTATTCAATTTTAGTTAATAAATAATATTTTGTTAACCAGTTTGAAAGTGAATGTCAAATAATTAACCTAAGAATTGTTATGAGAAATTGGGAATTATGCTTCAGGGGCAAGATAGAAACGACCTCGATATATATTTGCTACTCAATGCCTATGCATTGAAGATGTGTAGGTCATGAACTTTTCTCAACATAGTATCTCTTCATAAGTTTGTTAATGGATCAGGCTAATTGATTTCTAAAATATTCGACTTATTTGTATTTTACTACCTTCTCCATCATGTCTCCTTTAGCTCACGATATCTATTTTTGAGTTTTGTTCAAATCTTGGTGTTGATATTTTCTCCTAGATTTTCGAAGCTTTTGGGCCTGTTGAACTTGTGCAACTGCCTACGGATCCAGAGACAGGACACTGTAAAGGTTTTGGATTTGTTCAAGTCAGTATTTTCGAGAATTCTCTGCATTGAAAGTTTCGTCGTGTTCCATTGAGTTTTAATGTTATCACCATCTATTGTAACATGAAACCTATTGAATCGATATTTTCCAGTTTGCGCAACTTGAACATGCAAAGGCAGCAGAGAGTTTGAATGGTAAACTGGAGATTGCTGGTCGGACCATCAAGGTACTAAACTTGTACCATTTTAGCTTCATTTTCATTTTTGTTCATTTCTGAGACTTCATCGCGTTCTATTTTGAATTCATTACAGGTT